TTCGTATTACATTTATTATATCAGCCATTTTGATTATGATTTCGTAAAGTATTTTTATTTTGTCCGCCTCTGTGTTATAGGGTTACAAATTCCAAATGCATGCGTTTTAGCAGCAGACTTCTTTGCTTTGATTTAGACAGTCGTATTGACAGCCTACTGTTTAGTCAGCAATGGCAAACTTCTTCTTTTAAACTCCATGCCGTGTGACGTTGGTAGTCATGTCTATCCACAACCTTCTGTCTCGCGTACTTTCAATCAGTTTTGGCACAGATGATATTCCATGCCATGATGTCAAAGTGTCAGCCTCTGTTCTCTCGGTCTCCCTCTGCCTCTCCTCCTCTCCAACTTTCCTACTGTTAGAATGTACTCCAGTTTTCTCCTTCTCATCACATGACCAAACAATGTAAATTGTCTCTTTCTGATGTGTGAAATAAGTTCTCTTCGACAGACAGTTTCGTTCAAGTCATCCCGATTGCTCTGTTTTATCTGTCCAGGATATTCTCATCATTCGTCTATAAAACCACTAATCTACCAACTGTCCGTGATTCACTTCCATACGTCAAACTAGGATTTATTTTGCTTTTAAGACTTCTCTTTCTTGCATTAGTTGACAAAGCCAGGTTGCATAAAATATTCTTCATTCTGTAAAATGCTGTATGTGTTTGAGCTATTCTACATTTAACTTCCTGAATACATATTCCGTCTTATGTTATCTGGGTACCCAAGTATTGAACATATCAACTCGCTTGAGGTTTGTCCCATTTACTTTGATGCTGCATTTTGGAAGGCCAGTTTACCATTACTTCTGTTTTTCTGCTGTTCAGACTGTGACCCTTGTTTTCACTTTCCGTTATAATTATATCCACCATTTCTTGCAGGTGTGTTTGATTTTCAGTGATCAAAACTATATCGTCAGCAAATCGCAGGTTGTTAGCAATGTGTAAACCAACCGATATTCCCTGCATACCATGTATGGATCTAATTATTTGTTCACTGTACAAAATGAATAAATAGGGTGATAGCACACATCCCTGTCTAACGCCCTGTTGAATCTTTTGAACAGTTCCAACTTGGTTTTCAATCCTTATGGCTGTGTCGTGTTGCAAGTATGTGGTTCCCCCCCCCCCCCCCCAAACTTTACCATTAATGATCAAGTTTTCAAAAATTCTAAAAATTTCTTCATGTCTCACTTGATCAAATGCTTTAGTATAATAGATAAAGCATAATTACAGATCTCTTTTCATTTGGTTCATTCTGTCTGAAAGTTTTCTCAAGATAAATATGGCGTTGTTTGTGCGTTTACCTTGAGCACAACCACACTGCTGTTCTCCAATTTCTGGTTTACTTTCGACAAACTGCTTTTTCTTCTTCCTCATCATTTCGAGCCCTTGAAGTTCATTGCTGCAGATATCACCCGTCTCGTTTCATCTCTCTGGTTGGCCTTCTCTTTCCAGGTGGTGACACCAAGTGTGTGCAGGTCTGTCTGGATATTATCTCTCTATCGTCTTCTTGGTCTGCCTCGTGGTCTACGACCATTCATCTCCCTTGTGTATACAGTTTTTACTTCTCTGTCATCTGACATTCTTTCAGTATATCCCAACCATTAAGGTCTATTAGCGCTCACGATGCCAGTGATCAGTGGTGATTTAAACAGATTATGAATTGTGTTGTTGCTACTCACTCTCCATTTACCGCTGTTTGCATCTTTGATGGGTCCAAAGATTCATCGTAAACCTGTGTTTTCGAAAACCTGTAATAAGGCTTCATCTCTTTTAGCTATGCCCCAAGTTTCAGAGCCATATAACACGACTGGTCTAATCAACGTTTTATATATTTTGATCTTGGTGTTGCAAGACAGACACTTTGACTTTAGCAGATGTTGAAGGGCATAATTTACTTTATTTCCAGATTGTATTCTATATTGTATTTCTTCTCTCAGCATGTTGGAACAGTTGAAGTTTGCACTCAAGTACTTATATGTTTCCGTTCCTTTATTCTCATATTATCGACTTGTGTGTGGCCGGAGTTTTTATCCCTTCCCTGTCTAGTTATTATCATGTATTCTGATAACTAGTCTCATTTTCTGAGCTGATTCTTTTAAAATAGGCAGTGTTTTAACAGTCTCTAGTTTATTTTCTCCAACATATCAATGTCGTCAGCATATCCATGTATTCTTGTAGTTTCTTCTATTGTTAACTCTTGTTTCAATTTCCTGAGTTGGTTGTGTGCAGCATAGCTCGGCTGCTTTATATCCTGCTGCTGTGGGGGGGGGGGGGGGGTGAATTTGGAAAAGAGCAGACGAAATATCAAAAACGAAAACAAAGAAAGAAAGAAAAATAGATAGATAGAAAGAAAAACAGACGAACTGTAGAAAGAAAGAAAGAAAGACAATAAGAAAGAAAGAAAGAAAGAAAGAAAGAAAGAAAGAAAGAAAGAAAGAAAGAAAGAAAGAAAGAAAGAAAGAAAGAAAGAAAGAAAGAAAGAAAGAAAGAAAGAAAGAAAGAAAAAAGCTATGTTTTTAAAAAAAAATTGCACAAGGGATTTAAGGTCACGAAGGAAATGAAGGGGAAAAAAAGACCCACAAAAAAATGTATTACACATTCGAAAACTTTTTTCCCCCAACGGGCCATCAGTTTACCCAGATGCTATCAAGATCTAATGTTATTGTTCAAATCCGTGTAACTATTGGTTGCTGCCTTCATTGAAAACATCCAATAACTGATGATTAAAGGATTAACAGAGTCATTCAAAAGTGCATTCATCAAATCATTGATTATGTTTTGCTTGCATGGATAAATGTTCCCTGTCTTGCGTGTCGTCCATCAAAATGTTCGCAACCGACGTTTCCCAGGCGCTTTGCCTCAGTTTGCTTTTGTTACGCCATTTCAATGGGGCTACGTCATTTCAATGGGGCTACGTCATTTCAATGGGGCTACGTCATTTCATCAAGATTAAATTGACGTTGAAAGCTCATTGTCAGGGATGTTTCTTTGATAACGTAATTTCACTGTCAGTGACGTGTAACTGACAGTGACATGACGCTGACAGTGTTGGCGCATTGACAGTCGTTAAAGTTGAAGGCGACAGGATTGTTTTATATATGCTCGGTCTGCCTCTATCCATAGAACAGTGAGCTGACTGTCGCAGAAAGCACGAACCCCATAGCTCAAGGTAAATTCCAATGGATCTCAGTAAAAACTGCACTACTGAACCGAAAAGTGAAGTCGTGAAACGAAGCCAGGAGGCTAACAGCTTAAGTACTACGTCACCGAAACGCCTGAGTCAGTCAAAACAATATTTAATTGACAGTGATATTGTATTGACTGTTTCATTTAATTGACAATAATATTTCATTGACAGTGATATTTCAGTAACATTTATGTTTCTTAGACAGCGATATTTCATTAGCAGTGATGTTTCACTGTAACTAAGGGCTTATGAATGGAGAACAGTGCACACCTACGTCATCAATGCTTGGTAGACAGTGATATTTCAGTGTCATTTGTGTTTCTTAGACAGTGATATTTCAGTGTCATTTGTGTTTCCTCGACAGTGATATTTCAGTGTCATTGAATTGTTTATATAGACTGTGATATTTCAGTGTCATTTACTTATCATAGACTAATATTTCGTTGTCATTTGTGTTTCATAGACTGCGATATTTCAATGTAATTTATGTTTTTTAGACTTTGATTTTCAGTGTCATTTTTTTTCCATAGACTGTGATATTTCAGTGACACTGATGTTTCATAGACTGTGACATTTCAGTGTCATTTGTATTTCATAGACTGTGATATGTCAGTGTCATTTGTATTTCATAGACTGTGATATGTCAGTGTCATTTGTATTTCATAGACTGTGATATATCAGTGTCATTTGTATTTCATAGACTGTGATATGTCAGTGTCATTTGTATTTCATAGACTGTGATATGTCAGTGTCATTTGTATTTCATAGACTGTGATATTTCAGTGTCAGTTGTATGTCATAGACTGTGATATTTCAGTGTCATTTGTATTTCATAAACTGTGATATTGTTCAGTTACATTGGTGTTTCAATGGCAGTGATATTTCATAGGTAGTGATTTTTCCCGGAAGCTAAGTACAGGTGAATTAAAGCAACCTACATACGTTATGAAACAATTCACAACATTGAATTTTTGGCGTCAGTGCCATAATTGTATTGACCGACCAGCATTGGATGGCTGATGTAGCCACTGCCATGTTTGCCGCCATGACTTCTCACAACACTTCCTATTATCAGTTTGGGGTTGGGTTGAGCTGGAACGTCGTTTTACTTATAATTTTAAAGTCTCTGATGCTCTGTGGTACAGATACACATACAAGATGTCCCTGCGTTATCTTGTCGCTTAAAAATACCGTCTCTGTGGTACTAGAGGAACAACTACAAGGTGCTCCAGAGTTGTTCACCTACCCCCTGGTAGTTCCCCTCTCTTTGGTACTAGAGATGCGAGCAAAAAGAGTCTCAAGGTCTGCCCCAGTAATAATCCTACTGAGTGATGTAATTAAAGTGACGTAAATGATCCTTTTTTCTATCCGTTGATGTAATCAAAGTGACTTAAACGATACTTTTTCCATCCGTTGATTTAATCAAAGTGACGTAAACAATCCTTTCCAGTCAGTGATGTAATCAGTGACGTAACTGATCCTTTTATGACAAGTTATGTAATCAAAGTGACGTAAATGATTGGTGCACAGGGCATATGATGCCACACTCATATTTGTATAGACCAGTCTGCACTCGATGTGAACGCTCCCCTGTCTCCTTTTACTTCCATGGACATTTTCTGTATTTATTTTAACCTGGGTCGACCTGGGAGCCAAGGTCAATTGTATTCCCTTGTAATTCTTCCCGGTGCTGGTTTTGAACCCTTGACACTGGAGCCGGCAGGCGAGCGTCCAGCCACTCCGCCATCACGGCTTGTACGTAGACTGTGAAACAATACTAAATCTTGAGATGATTTGTTCTGTCCCGGCAGCCGACAGCGATGCATTCCAGGCTGTGCTCACACAAGTCGCCGAGCAACTCAACAGGTAAGCAGAAACGCTTGTAGTTGTTGATGATTTGATGATGTAGCTTTGAATCTGCAATTCTGGTCTTTGAGGGAAGGGTTAGATTATCAAAACCTTTAACTGACGGGCACCTAAGAGACACATAGATTGTCAAATCCTTCAACTGACGGGCACCTAGGAAACACATAGATTGTCAAAACCTTCAACTGACGGGCACCTGGGAAATACATAGATTGTCAAAACCTTCAACCGACGGGCACCTAAGAGACACATAGATTGTCAAAACCTTCAACTGACGGCAGCTAGGAAAACACATAGATTGTCAAAACCTTCAACTGTAGGGCAGCTAGAAAACACATAGATTGTCAAAACCTTCAACCGACGGGCACCTAAGAGACACATAGATTGTCAAAACCTTCAACCGACGGGCACCTAGGAAACACATAGCTTGTCAAAACCTCCAACTGACGGCAGCTAGGAAAACACATAGATTGTGAAAATCTTCAACTGTAGGGCAGCTAGAAAACACATAGGTTGTCAAAACCTTTAACTGACAGGCACCTAGGAAACACATAGATTGTCAAAAACTTCAACCGACCGGCAGCTAGGAAACACAAATTCTCTATTCCACTACTGAAATCCTCTATGAAAGACTTTTCTTGACACGGGCAGGTCTTGCTAGTCACACTCGCCATCGCCAAGAGCGAGTTTCACGCCTCCTCATAGCGCAATATAACACTATCGCATGGAAAGAAGGAAAGTTGCTAATGAATGATAAGGCATTTTTTTTTTAAATTTATGACAAAAATATCACTTTTTCAATGTATTCGTTTTTGTAAAGTTCGGCATTCGTAGAATAGATTACACAGGATTCATGTCATTTGTAAACAATTAAGCATTAAAAGTTATGGCTATAGATACCACCCCATGCATTTTTTTGTGATTAAAAAAAAAAAGTTGAAAAATTAGTTTTATCACAATTCAGTATTTTGTGTGTGTGCGTGTGTGTGTGTGTGTGTGTGAGTGTGTGTGCGTGCGTGCGTGCGTGCGTGTGTAAAATCCTAAAATTCCAGATAATATAAAGACTAGAATAATGAAATTTGGTATGGATACTCCTTAAACAATATTATAGGTACATGTTTATTTAAGTAAATTTTAGACAGTTTACTTTTTTATTTTTTTTTAATTGTCTTAAGACGCTAAATTTTTTAAACTTTTCAACAAACCTTCATTTTAAAATTCTAAGAAAAATATTTCAAAATATTTTTTTAGTAAACAAACTACACTCGAAATTCAACAAAGGATTCAAGTTAATGGTTCCATCATCTATTTTTTAAAACCTGCATTTGTGTTTGAAATTTTAGAATTCTAAGAAAATGTTGGTTTTTCCCAAAGATAGCGGCTACTGCCAAAGCAATCATGATTTTTAAAATAAAGTATGCAAATGTAGTAACCTATATCCCTACAAATGACCATTATAAAATAATTGTTCTAACACTATAAATAAAATAAAAATGTGTAGTGTGAGTGAAGAATTGGACTCTAGATAGATAGGTCACCAGCCCATCTCGTCTCGTCTCTAGATAGATAGATATGTCACCTGCACATCTCGTCTCGTCTCTAGATAGGTAGGTCACCTGCACATCTCGTCTCTAGATAGATAGGTCACCAGCACATCTTGTCTCGTCACTAGACAGATAGGTCACCTGCACATCTTGTCTCGTCTCTAGATAGATAGGTCACCAGCACATCTTGTCTCGTCTCTAGATATAAAGGTCACCAGCACATCTTGCCTCGTCTCTAGATAGATAGGTCACCAGCACATCTTGTCTCGTCTCTAGATAGATAGGTCACCTGCACATCTTGTCTCGTCTCTAGATAGATAGGTCACCTGCACACTCGTCTCTAGATAGATAGGTCACCTGCACATCTCGTCTCTAGATAGATAGGTCACCTGCACATCCTGTCTCGTCTCTAGATAGATAGGTCACCTGCACATCTCGTCTCTAGATAGATAGTTCACCTGCACATCTCGTCTCTAGATAGATAGGTCACCTGCACATCTCGTCTCTAGATAGATGTCACCACATCTCGTCTCTAGATAGATAGGTCACCTGCACATCTCGTCTCGTCTCTAGATAGATAGGTCACCTGCACATCTCGTCTCGTCTAGGTCACCTGCACATCTCGTCTCTAGATAGATAGGTCACCTGCACATCTCGTCTCTCACCTGTCTCTAGATAGATAGGTCACCTGCACATCTCGTCTCTAGATAGATAGGTCACCTGCACATCTCGTCTCTAGATAGATAGGTCACCTGCACATCTCGTCTCTAGATAGATAGGTCACCTGCACATCTCGTCTCGTCTCTAGATAGATAGGTCGTCTCTAGATAGATAGGTCACCTGCACGTCTCGTCTCTAGATAGATAGGTCACCTGCACATCTCGTCTCTAGATAGATAGGTCACCTCACCTGCACATCTCGTCTCTAGATAGATAGGTCACCTGCACATCTCGTCTCTAGATAGATAGGTCACCTGCACATCTCGTCTCTAGATAGATAGGTCACCTGCACATCTCGTCTCTAGATAGATAGATAGGTCACCTGCACATCTCGTCTCGTCTCTAGATAGATAGATAGACCTGCACCTGCTCATCTCGTCTCTAGATAGATAGGTCACCTGCACATCTCTCGTCTCTAGATAGATAGGTCACCTGCACATCTCGTCTCTAGATAGATAGGTCACCTGCACATCTCGTCTCTAGATAGATAGGTCACCTGCACATCTCGTCACCTGCACATCTCGTCTCTAGATAGATAGGTCACCTGCACATCTCGTCTCTAGATAGATAGGTCACCTGCACATCTCGTCTCGTCTCTAGATAGATAGGTCACCTGCACATCTCGTCTCTAGATAGATAGGTCACCTGCACATCTCGTCTCTAGATAGATAGGTCACCTGCACATCTCGTAGATAGATATAGATCACCTGCACTGCACGTCTCGTCTCTAGATAGATAGGTCACCTGCACATCTCGTCTCGTCTCTAGATAGATAGGTCACCTGCACATCTCGTCTCTAGATAGATAGGTCACCTGCCCATCTTGTCTCGTTTCTAGATAGATAGGTCACCTGCACATCTTGTCTCGTCTCTAGATAGATAGGTCACCTGCACATCTTGTCTCGTCTCTAGATAGATAGGTCACCTGCACATCTTGTCTCGTCTCTAGATAGATAGGTCACCTGCACATCTTGTCTCGTCTCTAGATAGATAGGTCACCTGCACATAGATAGGTCACCTGCCTATCTCGTCTCGTCTCTAGATAGATAGGTCATCTGCACATGTCGTCTCTAGATAGATAGGTCACCTGCCCATTTTGTCTCGTTTCTAGATAGATAGGTCACCTGCACATCTTGTCTCGTCTCTAGATAGATAGGTCACATGCACACATCGTCTCGTCTCTAGATAGATAGGTCACCTGCACATCTCGTCTCTAGATAGATAGGTCACCTGCACATCTCGTCTCTAGATAGATAGGTCACCTGCACATCTCGTGTCTCTAGATAGATAGGTCACCTGCACATCTCGTCTCGTCTCTAGATAGATAGGTCCACTGCACATCTCGTCTCTAGATAGATAGGTCACCTGCACATCTCGTCTCTAGATAGATAGGTCACCTGCACATCTCGTCTCGTCTCTAGATAGATAGGTCACCTGCACATCTCGTCTCTAGATAGATAGGTCACCTGCACATCTCGTCTCGTCTCTAGATAGATAGGTCACCTGCACATCTCGTCTCTAGATAGATAGGTCACCTGCACATCTCGTCTCTAGATAGATAGGTCACCTGCACATCTCGTCTCTCTAGATAGATAGGTCACCTGCACATCTCGTCTCTAGATAGATAGGTCACTGCACACGTCTCGTCTCTAGATAGATAGGTCACCTGCACATCTCGTCTCTAGATAGATAGGTCACCTGCACATCTCGTCTCTAGATAGATAGATAGGTCACCCTGCACATCTCGTCTCTAGATAGATAGGTCACCTGCACATCTCGTCTCTAGATAGATAGGTCAGATAGGTCACCTCGTCTCGTCTCTAGATAGATAGGTCACCTGCACATCTCGTCTCTAGATAGATAGGTCACCTGCACATCTCGTCTCTAGATAGATAGGTCACCTGCACATCTCGTCTCTAGATAGATAGGTCACCTGCACATCTCGTCTCTAGATAGATAGGTCACCTGCACATCTCGTCTCGTCTCTAGATAGATAGGTCACCTGCACATCTCGTCTCTAGATAGATAGGTCACCTGCACACCTCGTCTCTAGATAGATAGGTCACCTGCACATCTCGGTCGTCTCTAGATAGATAGGTCACCTGCACGTCTCGTCTCTAGATAGATAGGTCACCTGCACATCTCGTCTCTAGATAGATAGGTCACCTGCACATCTCGTCTCTAGATAGATAGGTCACCTGCACATCTCGTCTCTAGATAGATAGGTCACCTGCACATCTCGTCTCGTCTCTAGATAGATAGGTCACCTGCACATCTCGTCTCTAGATAGATAGTCTCGTCTCTAGATAGATAGGTCACCTGCACATCTCGTCTCTAGATAGATAGGTCACCTGCACATCTCGTCTCTAGATAGATAGATAGGTCACCTGCACATCTCGTCTCGTCTCTAGATAGATAGGTCACCTGCACATCTCGTCTCTAGATAGATAGGTCACCTGCACATCTCGTCTCGTCTCTAGATAGATAGGTCACCTGCACATCTCGTCTCTAGATAGATAGGTCACCTGCACATCTTGTCTCGTTTCTAGATAGATAGGTCACCTGCACATCTCGTCTCGTCTCTAGATAGATAGGTCACCTGCACATCTCGTCTCTAGATAGATAGGTCACCTGCACATCTCGTCTCTAGATAGATAGGTCACCTGCACATCTCGTCTCTAGATAGATAGGTCACATGCACATCTCGTCTCTAAATAGATGGGTCACCTGCCCATCTC